AAATCACGGTAACTGAAGATCATGTAAAACCAAAGAAGAAGAAACCGACGAAACAAAAGATGAAGGTCACTGAGGACGATAAACCAGAGGAAATACCTTCCGAAATAGTCTCAATTGAAGAAACGAAGCCACAAGAGCTGGAGGAGGCACCGTCTGAAGAAATAAAGGTTGCCGAAGAACAACCTACCACTGAGGTTGATGAATTCGAAATCACGGTAACTGAAGATCAAGTAAAACCAAAGAAGAAGAAACCGACGAAACAAAAGATTAAGGTCACTGAGGAAGATAAACCAGAAGAAATGCCTTCTGAAACCGTATCAAGTGAAGAAACAGAGCCCAAAGATGTGATAGAGGAAGCACCGTCTGAAGAAATCAAAATTACCCCAGAACAACCTCCCTCCGTCGTTGAGAACTTTGAGATCACAGTGACCGAAGAGCTTGCAAAGCCAAAGAAAAAGAAACTCGTCAAGGAAAAGAGCAAAGTTCTTGAGGAGGATAAACCCGAAGAGGTACCTTCTGAAACAGTCGCTGAGCCAGTAAATGTAGAAGAAATCGAATCGAAGACAGAAGTGAAAGAAGTTATTGACGACAAAGGTGAAGTCCAGAAACAGGTAGTGAAAAAACGCAAATTAAAACGTCAACAAGGGTCAAACGAGGATGTTATCGAAATAATAGAGGTTCAAACAGGCGACCAGCCTGAAGCGGAAGTTACCATTATAGAAACACCAGCCGAAGATAAAGAAGCAGAGAAGAGCGGTAAGCCCAAAGTTCAGAAAAAGAAAGTAAAGAAGGTCAAGCAGGACGACTTACACGACTATATACAGAAATTGATTGAGGAAGAAATACCCAAAACTGAATTAGAAAAATATGAAAAAATCGAATTCGAAAATATTCCAAAAGTTAAAAAAGAGAACGAAGAACCTTTTGACATTTCAATCGAAGAAGAAACTCCTAAAGCAGTCGAAAACCGGGAACCGAAGAAAAAGACTAAAACTAAGAAACCTCAAGAGAGTGTAGAGGAACAGCCTTTGGCCGAAGTGCGTGTTGTGGAGGAACATAAGGAAGAAACCGAAGCAATATTGCCAATCAAAATAATCGAATCAGAGGCACCCGAAGAACCAATTATTATAACAGAAGAAACTCCAGCTGAGGTTAAAGTTGAAGAAATTGTAGATCAACAAGGAGAACCAATCCAGCAAGTTACCACCAAACGAGTACTTAAAAAGAAAGAAAAGGGCAAAAAAGACAGCACTATAAATATTGTAACAGTTCAAGATGACACAAGCCCTGAGGTAACTGTCATAGTCAGCGAAGAACCAGAAACAGAGCCTATTGCTCC